TTATCTTCAGTAATGAATTTTCAGTTCCAAACCGGATCAGCCAGGGAATGGTTTCCTCAGTTCTTCGAAAGGTTCATTTGAGTGATTCTATCGTCACTTATTAGCTGATGAACAAACGTTTCCTCGCATTTTCCTAAGAGGTAAGGGGTCACTCCCAACCCACTTAAGTGCTGACTTGTGTTCGCTTAAGGAAACCGATTCACAATTGTTAATTGGTCATTGTCACGAGGCAGTCAGCCTAATGTTTGTCATTCATACAAGTATAAAACAAAAAGAGATACAAAGAAGCAGAAGCGGAAGAACTTGAAAAAGAAATGTAACAATTTTCCATTACATGAAATTGAAGTACATGGGGGCCGAAGCCATTACAAAGGAAACCCTAATCTGAGGGAGCAACTTCAGCACTGGCCGCCTCCTGGGCCTCTGGAACCTCCTCGTTAACCTTCTCAGGCCGACCTCCAGTGGGTCCCCCAAACTCCGCCTCTAGTTGAGAGATGTCCAGTGTGGGGTGCACCTCCTTTAGCCGACCCAATAAGCTCTGGGCAAATTTTGAACCGCCACCTCCCCCGCTGACTTTAACTCCTCCCTCAGAGAGGCAATCTCCACTGACTGGGCCTCTGCTTGCTGCTTCAGCTCCGCTTTTTCTCTGTTGGAGGCCTCCAGGGCATCGGTGGCAAGCTTGTGGTGCTCGTTAGCGTGGTCAAGCCGCCGAGTCACCACAGCCACCTGGCACTCCACCTCATAGAGCTCTTTTTTCAGCCGCTCCACCTCCGCCTGCGAAGCAGCGAGCTGGACCTCAGCAGCTCTCTTTTCCTCTTCTGCCTTGGCAGCTTTGGCCTGGGCAGCTCGCACAGCGTCCCCGTAATGCATCGCCTCCTCGAGGCGCTTGGCGAGGTCCTCCCTCTTGGAGTTTAGATCCTTCACCAAGCCCTCGAGTTGGATACTTGTGCTTAGTGCCCGGGCCACGCAGGCGCTGTTCACCGCCACCAAGTCTTCAGCAGTGCAGGAGGCGGTGTGGTCCCTCCACTCTTCGGTCCAATACTTGCTGTGGACCACCGCCACCGCAGCTGTTTCCGGAGGGAGAGCCTCCAGCACCTCCCTTACTGGCTCTTCTGAACTGGTGCCGAGGAAGTCAACTTCTTTGCTGGAGCGGGCCCTTTTCCTCCTCTGCTGCCCCGGAACATGTTCAATAGGTACGGCCGCGAGGGGCGCCGTGTCCTGGGCAGCGACAGGCTCCGCAGTAGTGGGGTTTCTCTCGGGGAGGGCCATCCCCTTGGGAATAGTTGTCTGCCGCATAACTGGGGGTGGCCTCGCCACAGTTGGGCGTCTGGGAGGGGCAGCACTTTTCTTGCCCTTCCTTCGGAGGTCGGCCTCCGGATCCTCCTGAACCTACTCCTCCGTCGGAGGCTGAAGTCTCTTACTAGCCTCCACCAGCTCCTCCATTTGCTTCTTATATGAAGAGGAGGAAGCCTTCAGTGCCCTTGCTTCAGCCATCATTTTCTGAATAGTTTTGAAGTCAGGGCGTACTGGCAGCTTCTTGTTGAAGTTATCTGCAAAGAAACGAGTGAGGAATTAATATAAGTATAGGGAGTTCAGGTTAAAAGAGTGTGGGCTTCGGTCCTATTACCTTGGGACGCCATTAAGTCGTGAGTGACGAAGTGTATGTTTTTCCGAATGAGCCTGTGATATGACCTCTTCTTCTGAGGCAGTTGATAAATAACGCAAATAATGTCGAAGTCCTCTGTCGATAGCTCGCACCGAGGGAGGGAACCTGCGAAAAGAAACATCTGTTAAACACAAGCCCGGCCGAAGAGAAATAAAATATCAACCACTATACTCACTAAGTGTTGAAAACTTCGCCGGGATTGTAAGAGGCGCCAGGGGGTCCCCCTCCATTGTGTCCCATCGCCCCGCTGCCCAGCACCAAGAGCTCTTCCATTCCTTGATGGAGCTCGGCAGATCGATCACAAATGGAGTGTGGGAACCCCATGACGTCAGGTAGTACCAGCCCCGGGTCTTATCCCCCCGGCAGTAACCTTGGGGATGTAAAGAGTTTGGAAAACGGAAAGGGGCATCTCCACTCCTAACGACGCCTCTTTCCACAACATCCAGGAGCCCACCATCTGGCTCCAGGAGTTCGGATTGAGCTGCGTCGGGGCTAGCCCGTAAGACCTAAGCACCAACCTAAAGAACGGGTGAATAGGCAGCCTAAGTCCGGCCCTAAGGATCGCCTCACTAATGGCCACGCAGCCCGGCCTTGGGTAACAAGCTCTCTCTTCTGGCCCTGGGAGAATCAGATCCACACTGTCCGGGATCCTATATTCCGTCCTATGTCTACCAAGGTCGGCCTCCCTCAACTTTGATGGGTAGTCCGATGCCCCCGAGTGCACAGAAGTATCCGGAGGGCTATCTGGTCGCTTCCACATGTTTTCCCCCCCCATTATGGCCCCAGCTATTTCTGAGGAGGTCGCCACAATGGGCTCATCCACCCTCACAATCTCTAAACTCCTACCCATACCAGAACTCCCTTCCGAGGCCATTCGTTAAGAAATTTTTAGTCTAAATGGGTACTGAAACTTACGGGTTTGAAAGTGTTTCCTAGCCGGAAATGGTACAAGATCGCCGGAAATATCGCTCTCTCTCTCGCCGGAGTTGCCTGTAGAACGCCGGGAATCGCCAAAAATTTGGGAGAAAATTTTGTTTTTTCGTGGTAAAGGTAGAAACTTTGGTAAGCCCCCAAAGTTCACCTTTTATAGGAAAGACAAATCCAATCTCCACCTTTGAATTCAAATACGATCAATCTAAACCGTCCGTTGTATTCTCGATCCCAGCCGTTGAAATGAAACGCCAGATTTGATCTACGCCCAAGATGTCGCTGTGGCTTTCACGCTAAATTGAAACGCGTCGCCTCGGTTACCAACAGCCGTCAATAATAATTACTGGCCGCGGCAGCCTTCTAGGGGAATGGGCGTGGTACCCAACTGTCACCTTGGAAGCACGCAACAGTTGTCAAATCATTGGACTTCGGGCGCTGCGTTCCCACCATCGGATGATCTCCTCCCCCAACTTTACAAAGCTTAGCCGCAACCGATGCGAAGGCCCCAGTCGCTAATCACCTCGGGCGCTGCGTTCCCACCATTGCTTTACAAAGTTCTAGCCATCTCCCCACGCGTCGACCCTCTTTTCCGCCAACGCTTCGGCGAGAAACGAGTCCCCCAACTTAACAAAGCCTGGACGCACCCGATGCAAGCGCCCCGTTTGCTATCGCCTCGGACGCTGCGCCCCTCCCATGCTTTGCAAAGCTTGAGCCGTCTCCCTCTTCCTGACAACGTTTCGATGAAGACGAGTCCCTAAAATTTCTATAACGCTTTAACGTACCCGACGCGAGCGTATCATCGGCTCATCGCCTCGGCTCTGCGTTCTTCCCATGCTCTACAAAGTTTCAGCTACCCCCATGCCGCGATCCGGTCAGGAAAACAAATCCACGTATAATATAAATATTCATTCTCAGATTTGGGGGACCACTGTTACGCCTCATTTTACGAGCCTCGGAAACACTCCGACCTCCCGAAGCCTCTCCGAAGTGATACACCAATTCCTGTCACTGATCTGCCGAAGTGTCCCGTCTCCGACCCCGTTAGAAGATTCGCTGCCAATTTAAGATTTGCTCTGCATATAAGGTTTAAATTGATGTGACGTCCCCCATAAAGCTATTTGATGTGACTTATCAACTTTATGTCAATTCAACTCGGGGGAAACAAACTGTTCGCCCACTCTACAAGCGCGGCTGATTGACGCCTATGAGCAGACGCTTCACACCGTCAGATGTATACACGTGTTCCACATCCCACGGTTCATACCACCTATAAATACCCAAAGATTGGCCAGAGGCAAAGGTAATGAAACTCTCAATAGATAGCACTCCATAACAAGTTTATATATTCTCCTCCCCCTTTATTGACTGATTGATTTGTGTAGTCCCTGGACACTGTTCCGACCACCCAAACCTGACTTGACCGTCGGAGTGTATACGGCCGCCACCACCGTTGGTTCCGGCCGTGTGCACCTGACAGTTTGTTCATTTCGTAGGGAGGAATACGTGGAGTAGCTACAAGTTGGCCACCTGGAAGAGCCATTTTTAGAGGTCAACACTGAGTGTCATGTCTAGTGAACATGAAATTATCTTTTGCTGTTTGGTTAATGGTATACAAATTCTTTTGTGCTGTTGCCTCTAGGGTTGATCCACTCAATATTTGTTTTTAAGTATGTATATGATAGGTTCAGTTTTCTAATTGTCTGTACAAATGAACATGTTTACTGTCATCAGGAACATGTGATTCTTCTGTAGGATAGAATCTTATAATTGGAAATAGTGCTGGTTAAATTTATGGTGAACTAGTCCTGATTGAACGTTTAATATTTAGTTATTTCTCAGCAATTATACGCAATAATCTGTCAGGTATCTGAGTGCTTTATTGTTATCTTTATCTCTTTTAGAAAATGGCTGTAGACATTTCCTTTCTTTTCAGGATTCTTTTAATTATTCTACTCATTACAATTATTTAACATGTATTGACCCTGGTTAAGTTGTTTAAAGTGAATGAAAAGCAGAGTGAACTTGCTGAAAATGCCAACGGGAAGCCTCCAGTCAAGAAGCAAAGTGCTGGAGAGTTGCTTCTTCACATAGGTATTTTTCATTCATCAGTAATGACGAATGTTTTAGACTTTTCTTTCTTTGTATAATGAACACATCTATCCCTTGTTTTTGTTCTTTTCTGCAGTTCTACCCCCGCCCCCCCGCCCCAACTCTAACCTTGCAGATAGAGCTTTCATTCATATAATGGAAGGTCAGAAATTCTGTATGGATGAAGAGTTTCATCTCTTTACAGATGTTGCAGAGTAAAATAATATATTTGTGAACTAGAAATGCCACCAGAAAATTGTGCATTAAAGAAATAGAAGAGAATGAGAGAGAGGGGGGAAAAACAATTTGATGATTAGTCTCGTGGTGATTTCATATAGTTAAACATGGGATTGTGAGTGAAATCTCCCTCGCATATTGCTGCTTTTACTCCCTTAAA